CAATTCCCAGGCTATTAGGGTTGGGGGGGTCGGGGGGGGGGGGGGGCTGCTAAGTAGCTGACAGGCAGGGAATGGCAATAGCAAACAAATCGATATGGAGATGGGAGGGGACGAATCTGACCTGTGTGCACATATCAGCAAATAAAAGCTTACTTTCACTGCAGGCCTAAAACAACAGAAATGGTACATGCTCATCAACATTTCCTTGGCTACGCAGAGATGCATAACCTTGTATTCGAAACACACAATGCCTGATCAAGAAAAACGTGTGAAAAGAAGTACTTACATTCTTTATAGAAAGCATTAACCTAGCTCACCTCTGCTATAAGAGCTGCAGATGACAATCAGGACAAACAGAGTCTGTAAATCATGAATATTTCATTAAGACAAATGGATGGAAGGAGAACGGCATGGAAAAAGAAAGATGGATAAACAGACTCACCTCTATGTAGTTGCGTATCCCACAGCAAAGCTCAGCTGCTGGGATGGGCTGACATACTGCTCCTCTGCCCTGCTCACGGGATGCTGCTGGAGGACTTCGGTTCCTGGATGAGAACAAATTTACGTCATTGGGCTACTCTGCGTGTACACACACTCTCTCACACACACACACACACACATACAGTCCTCAGCAGCAGAATGTCAGACACTGCTATACACACCCAAGGACAGTGATGAAATGAAGGATGCTGAGAGAGGAAGAGAGAGACATAAAGGGGAGGGAGGTAGAGGCACGTGTGCATCATGAATCAATGTTATTACCACTCCATCAGCTTTTATGCCCCATCACAGAGAACATCTATCTGTGTCCATTTCACTTACAAATACATTTAAATAATAAAAAAGTGTAGGCTATGTATGGTGAATCTGACTATATTTGAACTGAAGTGGATTATTATCTTTAAAAATGCAGTAGCACTACTTTAAATACATATAAATGATGTTTAATATGCGTTCTATTAATAATAGCATTTGCTCTATCAATGAATTTATAGGTTAAATCATTTTTTGCAGTTAATATTAGATATATGGCAACAGAGTAAACATGTTCATGTTGTACTTAATACCGTACTATATTTTTAACACTATTGTTTTTAAATAATAATTTTAAGAAGAAATTAAGAATAAACGTTATAGACATTTAAATAGGATTTAGTACATTTCATCATCAAACTCTCGTTCTTTGAGAGTGATCCTTTTCTCAGTGTATTTTATGCCATTCTCAGAAATATAACGACAACAACGCAAACATTTTTCTGTTTGTTGATCAAATGTTTTGACCGTTTGACCGTGAGAGAGACCGGAACAAAAATCTCATTGGCTTGACGAGTGTTAGCGCCTATGTTATTGGACCTATGAAGTTAGGCGAGTCGCCTGCTCGAAATCTGTAACGCCATTGGTTAAGAACTCTACAACCCAACCCACTCCTGACAGTGATTGGCCAGCGTCCTTGGCGGGAGGACATATGTGTGATTTGAAATTTGAAAATCGGTTACTGTTGCTCTGTGGTTCGTAGTCGCGCGCGTGTCAGTGAGTTAGCTCATAAGTTTAATTCAGATAGTTTGAAGCATCTTCTGTCGTTTAGGAGGGCCAGTGATTTGTTACAGTTGAAGGCAGATCTGTTTGTATTTTAGTTTAATTTGCTTCGTGAAAGAGGTAAACGGTACAAATGGCTGGAACAGAAGGACCTCTGAAGGTAACGTTAAGTTAATTTATACAACATCATTTTCAAAAGAACGGGACCTTTAATGATGTATAATCCGTGTTCATGTATTATGTATGAAAAACATTAGTTGAACGAATAACGTTACATGATATTTCTGTGTGATAGTCATGTTGTCTATTTGTTCTTATTGTTCAAGTACTTAAATAGAAGTAGTTAGTTTAGGGTTGAAATGTTAAGCGTTTTAAGTATACTACACGGCTATCATTATATATGGGTCATACTTTTGCCGGAATTTAGTTGAAATATGTTGACGTTGGACACAAGCGGACGTGTTTTGTACTGCGTCGTGTAACGTTAACATAATGCCGTTTTTTTTTTTAGTGTAGGCCACATTTTGTTTTCCATTGTGTGTTGAGGGCGAGTTCCAAACGGAAGTGAGCATCCCTATGCACTAACGTTACTCCCTTCGAAGGGCAGAGCCCTTGAAGTGTGTTCTTTGATGGGTGTAACGTTAGGGCATTAACTTACTGTACCGTATAAGCGTTTGGAACGTCTACCTTCCATCAGTTGTTGCAAATAAATATGTCTTTTTATTTTATTCAAATATTGTCTAATTGTGTTTTATTTACTTTTAAACTTTTTCAAACTAAACGTGCTTGCACTACCATCTTAAATCATATTTCTATCACTGACGAAGAATATTTTGTCTTGCATTAAAATAGACACATTTAATTAGCCTATTCTATTTACGTTTGTATAAAAAAAAGCATCGCAAGAACTCTTAGCCGAAAATCACATGATCACAAACGGAAATCACTTCCGTGAGGTGACCATCGCATGGGACTTCTGGAAGGTCCCTTCGTGAAGTTGTTCACTCTCATTTGGAACGTCCCTACAAAAGCCGTTTGGAATTCAAATTTTAATAACGAGTAAAATTAAAACCGATTCATCACCCTCTGAGAAAGTTACCATGGTAACGATCACTTCCGCTACAGTTCCATACTGTTGTTACAATATACTTGTAACGTGGTGTTGGTCACACGTGTTAACAAAAGCAGAAAGAGAAAGTGACGCTTTATTTTTTTCACTTAGATTTGCAAACTGTGGCTGTAGTCTGTCATGTCTGTTAGCATTGAGGTTAGCAGTGTACTTCTGAAAGTTGACCGGTAGCATTTTGGAGATGCCTGTTATCTGTTTTAGGCATCGCAAGAACTCTTAGCCGAAGATCACATGATCACAAACGGAAATCACTTCCGTGAGGTGACCATCGCATGGGACTTCTGGAAGGTCCCTTCGTGAAGTTGTTCACTCTCATTTGGAACGTCCCTACAAAAGCCGTTTGGAATTCAAATTTTAACGAGTAAAATTAAAACCGATTCATCACCCTCGGAGAAAGTTACCATGGTAACGATCACTTCCGCTACAGTTCCATACTGTTGTTACAATATACTTGTAACGTGGTGTTGGTCACACGTGCTAACAAAAGCAGAAAGAGAAAGTGACGCTTTATTTTTTTCACTTAGATTTGCAAACTGTGGCTGTAGTCTGTCATGTCTGTTAGCATTGAGGTTAGCAGTGTACTTCTGAAAGTTGACCGGTAGCATTTTGGAGATGCCTGTTATCTGTTTTAGTAAATTGTCCACAATATTGATGGCGCCATGCAAATTTAGTCCAAAATACTTTATAGATTAAGGCTGGCCTTCACCATAACACCTCTTAAAGGGGTCATGTGATGCTTTTTTTAAAGATCATTATTTCGTGTATTTGGTGTAACCGAATATGTTGACATGCTTTAATGTTCAAAAAAACACATGATTTTTCTAACGAGTAAAATTAAAACCGATTCATCACCCTCTGAGAAAGTTACCATGGTAACGATCACTTCCGCTACAGTTCCATACTGTTGTTACAATATACTTGTAACGTGGTGTTGGTCACACGTGTTAACAAAAGCAGAAAGAGAAAGTGACGCTTTATTTTTTTCACTTAGATTTGCAAACTGTGGCTGTAGTCTGTCATGTCTGTTAGCATTGAGGTTAGCAGTGTACTTCTGAAAGTTGACCGGTAGCATTTTGGAGATGCCTGTTATCTGTTTTAGTAAATTGTCCACAATATTGATGGCGCCATGCAAATTTAGTCCAAAATACTTTATAGATTAAGGCTGGCCTTCACCATAACACCTCTTAAAGGGGTCATGTGATGCTTTTTTTAAAGATCATTATTTCGTGTATTTGGTGTAACCGAATATGTTGACATGCTTTAATGTTCAAAAAAACACATTATTTTTCAAATACTGTACATTATTGTAGGTCCTCTATGCCCCGCCTCTCTCAAACGCTTCATTTTCTACAAAGTCCCTCCTTCCGACAAGCGCAGTCTGCTCTGATTGGCCAGCTGACCCAGTGCATTGTGATTGGCCGAACACCGCAAGCACTCGTCGGAAATGTAACGCCCCTTACCATAATCGCGAGCTTCATCTTTCAAAATAAATGTAAAGACAGAGCCCGAAAGGGGAACAGAGTCGAATGACAGACAGTGATGAAGCTGGTATGTGTTTGCAGTACACAAGCCACGGTTAACTTCAGGGATCTTATCTATGCACAATCAGCTTGTAACACTCCAAAGAGAAAGGAAAACTTGAAATCGCATCATATGACCCCTTTAAGCCTTCCATTTTCTAAATCTCTGGCTCATTTTATGAAGGGGGGGTCAAAGTGACCATAATTTAATTAAATCCAAAAAACTTTAACATTAAACTTTATCAAATGTGTGTTAAAAAAAAAAGTGTATACTATACACAACATAGTATAAAGCAGAAAATCATTGTACTGCTTGTAGTCATAAAACCGAATCCATCCATGTCTCGACTTCCAAAAAAAGTGCTTTAGTTTCTTTTAGCAATCTTACCTGGCTTCTTATTTGCTGTAACATTGTTTTTGTCTTTTTTTTCAGAGTTTGTTTGAGAATAAGGCTCTCAGTAAGACCAAGAAAGATGACAAGCGTCTGTCTGTGGAAAGAATCTATCAGAAGAAGACCCAGCTGGAGCATATTCTGCTCCGGCCTGACACCTACATAGGCTCTGTGGAGCCTGTTACTCAGGTAGAGATCTTCCACATCTGCCATTTATCAGGGCCACTGGCACCCACCGTTTATGAATAATGCATACTGCCCATGACATGTTTCGTTAATACAGCAGTAGAATCAGTGGTTATTCTAAAGTGGTCACTCATTTTATTAAGGCAAGAATTCATACTGAACTATACTTAAAAAAACAAAAAAAAACAGAATTAAGAATTGAAGTCTTTCATTCTGTCAAGAACCTGGCCAACTCATTTCTTGAAAGTAATTTAAATGTTTTCAGATGGCAGTGCCGTCACAACTGTAGAATAACCCAATGTTTCTTCACTTTCTCTTTCCTGTTTAGCAAATGTGGGTGTTTGATGAGGTTATGGGATTGAACTGTAGAGACATCACGTATGTCCCAGGACTCTACAAGATCTTTGACGAGATTCTGGGTGAGTTGTTTTTGTTTTTTTGTGGTGAGTTTTTACTAGGGATGCTCTGATCGATCGGTATCGGCCGATGCCGGAGATCGGTATCGGCCGATAATCACATTTTGCTATGACGTTTCGATAGGGCTGGACTATATGGTCAAAATTGATATTGATATCATTCCGATATCGATATGAACATTATTAATCTGAAATGGAAATCTTTTGTAACATTATAAATGCCTTTATCATCACTTTTGATCAATTTTAAGCATCCTTGCTAAATAAAAGTATTAATTTCTATAATTCCCAAAAAATAATAAAAAATTATACTGAATGAAATGGTGTATAATGTTACAAAAGCTTTTTATTTCAGGTAAATGCTGATCTTTGGATCTTTCTATTCATCAAAGAATCCTGAAAAAAAAAATCTCAACTGTTTTAAATATTGATAATCAGCAAATCAGCATATTAGAATGATTTCTGAAGGATCATGTGACACTGGAGTAATGATGCTGAAAATTTAGCCATGTATGATCACAGGAATAAATTACATGAAAATCTATTCAAATAGAAAGCAATTTTAAATAGTAAAAATATTTCAACATTTTACTGTTTTTGCTGTACTTTGGATCAAATAAATGCAGCCTTGGTGAGCAGAAGAGAATTCTTTAAAAAAAAAAAACATAAAAAAACTTTCGACTGGTAGTGTAGGCTGATTATTCTTATAGATTGAAACAAATGTGCTTCAGCCAGAAAAAAGGATATGAAAAGTGCTCCGAGTCGCTGCAGAAAACAAAAAAATTGAACAACAACAAAAACTGGATATGTTGCTGGAGACGGGCTTATTTAAAATGAAAACTGATTCTCTGCCAGCAGGAGGCGCTTTTAGAGTGATAAAACTAGCGGTTTCTCCGGTAATGGCTGTAATCAAAGCAGCTCTGCTCATGAATGCTACTTTATCAGATCAAATAAAAATGCCATCGAAACTTTTCTGAAGACAGTCAATTCCCTTCAGAGATACATTCATATAAAACACCTGCACCGTGTTATGATTTTGTAAAGTGCAGTGCTCATGTTTATTCAACGAAGTCAAACGCCACAAATAAATCAATGTATGGGAAACTAGTAATGTATATCGGAAATGTTTAAAAATCATATCACCGTTATTGAAAAAAATGATATCGCAATACATATTGATATTGAATTATTGTCCAGCCCTACGTTTTGAGAAACAATGAAAAATTAGCTATTTGTCGTGTATGTTTTGCATGATGATATGATGAATAGATGGTTAATTTTTAACAGCAGATTCAGTGATGTTAGAGTGGATCTGTGCCTCACTGCACACGTCTGCGGCGCGTCGTCACGGCTCCACGGGAACCGGAGCTGATGGCGGCCGCTCTAATGCTTGTTTATACCGGCCAACCGCGGCACGTTTCTGAAGCGGCTTTCCGTGCTGCTTGGCTAAAAATAGTCTTTTGTGAGTTGTCACAGCGTGAAGGACGGAACAAAACCTCGTCGGAGCCGTACGGGATAACGGTAACATAACATGCTGATCATGGGCAGCTTTTAAAGGGGTCCTATAATGCTCTTTTACAAAGTCTTGATTTTGTTTTGGGGGTGTACTAGAACATGCTCTCATGCTTGGTGGTTTGAAAAACGCATTATTTTTCACATAATTTACATTATTAAAATACCTTTCTCCCCAGGCTGGCACAAACGGCTCGATTATTTCCGGCTTTGATGAAGGTCCACCTTCCGAAAAACAAAATGTGTTGTGATTGGTTAGCTGTCCCAGTGCGTTGTGATTGGCGAACAGCTTAGACAGTGTTTCAGTACTTTAAAAATTCAAATACTTTTTCTATGAGTGTAGGCACACCGGCAGCGCCGTTCGGCGTATTTCCGCAGCACCCAGCTACGTCGCGTTGTACTTGTAAGAATTGTTCTAGACATGCCGAAAATTTGAAGCTACAGCACAGCAGCTCTTCTTCGTTTTCTCTGATGCACTCAACCAAGCGTTCTAACCACAACCTCGCCCCTCCCCACCCCCCAACCATTCAAATCTCCGTTGGCGGGAATTATTTGTAATGATATTCCAATGAGCCGCTTTGTGATATCACAAAGCACAGAAAACAAACGCTGTAGTCCAAACGAGCCGTTTGTTGTAGTTCTTGAAAAGGGATTTTTTAAAAACGAAAAATCTCCCTTTGGAGTGGACTTTGAGATTTGTAACTTTCTAGATCTTTTTTATGCCCAAACATACACACTACACACTGACTAAAATTTTAAAACGGGAAAAAGCATAATAGGACCCATTTAAATGAACATTTATTTATAAAACAAAATCATCTTTGGCCATATTAGCCTACTCAATAGCATTAACACAGGCTTTACTCCTTTCAAACTTGATCTGGAATGTCACCGTTTGTCACTGCAACTTCCCAATCAGGCAAACGTGCGCACACACACAAAATCGTCTGCCTCATGAAAAATATTTGCATTTATGATTTATTTTATCCAGCCGCAACCCACCCACAAATAATCAGAAAGAGTTTTTTATTACCCAACCAGCGGATTATTCGCAGCGCCTGTAGATATAGGAAAAGCAAAAAAATGTTGCTGCGTAAATCAGACGGACTTACTGAAAATGCAAATTCATTCTCTGCCAGCAGGAGAAACAGCAGTTTCCCCAGTAACGGCTGTACACAAAGCAGTGCTGAGCTCACAAACACACAGGCATCAGAATCGGTATCGGCCAGTCACCATGACAAGAAATCAGTACTCCGTATCGGCTGCAAAAATCTTGATCGGAGCATCCCTAGTTTTTACTAATGGATTATAAGAATGATTAATGAGAAGTCATTGCTACGATTAACCGACAGCTCTAATTAAACTGTTTACCTTTTATTGTATTATGAAAACTATCTTTAATAATTACCTTAGCCTACATTAAACATTTAAAAAGCTGACTTTTCTTTAAGCAATTCACATAAACATCAATCAATGCACATAAATAGAGGTCATGAAATATTGTTAAATGAAGGTCAAACATTTGAAAGACAACCCCGTTTTGACCTTATGTGCTCTAAGGGCTGCTTCTTGAGTATAATACTCATTCTTTGATTCATAGTGAATGCTGCTGATAACAAACAGAGGGACAAAGCTATGAACTGCATCAAGGTTAACATTGACTCGTAAGTACTTCCCATGCTTTGATTGTTCACCGTTGTAGATCGGGAAGACATCTAAGTGATGCATGTTTGTGTGTGCAGGGAGAATAACACCATCAGTGTGTGGAACAACGGAAAGGGTATTCCTGTGGTTGAGCACAAGGTGGAAAAGGTGTATGTTCCTGCTCTTATCTTCGGGCAACTCCTGACCTCCAGTAACTATGATGATGATGAGAAGAAGGTCACAGGTGAGGTCGAGCTGGAAGTGCATGGATTCATATGAATGGACTTTACTTGATTGGAATGTTTAATCATGTGTGCTGTTAACAGGTGGCCGTAATGGATACGGTGCGAAGCTGTGTAACATCTTCAGCATCAAGTTCACGGTGGAGACTGCGTGTCGAGAGTCAAGACACTTTTTCAAACAGGTAAGTTTGATACCTGATCGCTCAATGCATGTTGATGTATTATTAGGGATTTAGGGATGTAACGATTCACTCAACTCACGATTCGATTCAATTCACGATTTTGATTTCACGATTCGATTCACTTTTTTTTTTTTTTTTTTACAAAATGAGGTTTAAGACAAATTATAAATAAATGTGTCCTTTTATTATTGCTTGGACAAAATGCTGCAGGTTTCTTTGTGAAATTGAAATATAACACTATAAGAATATACTAATACAGCACTTGTATATTATTGCTCTCTTGTTGGTTTTGATTGCTTCTATTGTCCTCATTTGTAAGTCGCTTTGGATAAAAGCATTTGCTAAATAACATTTAAATAAAATGTAAATAACAAAACTAAACTAACATTTTAAAACAAGCCCCAAATCAAATAAAGTAACAAATAAAAGCCACAAATGGCATTCCCTTGGTTACCGCTGTAAACCAAGCAGCACTGCGCTGAAACACTGCTATAATATGAACTATACAGAGACGAGATTAAAAGAAAATACCATCTAAACTTTTCTGAAGGCATTGTTCCACTCTGAAACACATTCATATAAACCCCCAAATCAATATTGAGGATTTTCTTCCAATAGTTCGTGCATCATGAACAGTGAGTGATCTGCCTGCTACAGTATTTTTCTTTTTGCGTCTGTCTTCAGCGTCTCTGGCCTGTTTACGGGCGTTTACAGACTTCATATTTTCACATAAATGACATTTTGGAAAACGATTGCATTGCAGCGCAGTTTGTGCAAGTCCAGAACAGAGACAAGTTATTTGCGATAAGACAAAAAGCGACCGGTTGCCGATCGCGTAAATTCAAGGGCAGCTCTTTAAGTTCGGCCATCCTACACACACACACGTGACTGACCGCTCGCTTGCACCAACAGGAGGAGGAGGGTCATGTTACTCTCTACACTGCACTCAACCTGAGGGATTCCTACACTTTCAGTCTGAGGAGACATGAATAACAGCGCGTACCGCAGGAAAGATAAAATGGAAAATATTAGTGGTTTTAAAACCGTGGAATTTTCAAATCGCGGTATACCTTGAAACCGGTAATGCCTAATCACTACTTAGCAGTCAGATGTCCATATGCACAAAGGCACAGATCCCTAAACAAGACCATATTTGAACTAGCACCTCCTGACTACACCACGTTATGTACGAGAAGCTGCAAAAGACACAGGCACAAGTGTGGTGACATTAATTTTTAAGTTAATATAATGGGCGATATATTGCGTTACCAATAATGATTTCAAATGAAGTCATGTACATGTATTGCGCGATAAGTCGGTATAGTGATTATTGCGACAGGCCTAGTCAACATTTGAAGTGGAGCAAAACCTTTCATTAAAGTTGTCCTAAAACCAAAATGCGTTCTTGTCTTAGGTAGACTTGTGCGGGCATTCGGTAATGCGATATATCACGGTAATGAATAGGCACGATATCGTGGGCACTTCTAAATACTGTGAATAATTATATATTACAAATTATTCCGAATTTTGAATGCATTTTTAAGAATACTTTTCCCATCAACTGGTCAAAATGCACAACACCGCTGTATGCTGCGTGAAAGACGCGTGCGCACTCTGACGTAAACAAGCGTGGATGAGAAGCACATGGCGGAACATGAGACGCTCTGAATGAAAGCGCACTTTCACTGTCTGACAGCAGATGGCGCTAAACTGCAGAAATAATTCATTTAAATGCAGCCGTTACCCCGGAAACCCTGTAAACAAAGCATCTGCACTACTTTGTTTCTGAATCATGTTTAAATGATTTAAACAGCCATTCAGATTTGTGTATTTGCTATGGTGTTCATCACTGCGCCAAATACTTAAATATTTAGACTTGATAGGCTATTTATTTTACATTTTAATCTGGACTACAACATGCCCTAGATATTGTTTGAAAGTGTTTTGATTCTTTATTATTCGTTCACGCTTTACATTAGGGCTTCATTAGTTAAAATTAGTTAATTCATTAGTTAACAAACTGCCAATGAAAAATTATTTTTTACAATATTTAATAACAGGTTGTTAAAATCGAAAGTTGCAACTGTTATTTAATGAGCTAACATGAACTAAGACTTGTATTTTTATTTTTTTTTAAAACAAAGATTAATAAATTCTGTAGCAAATGTAGCTATTGCTCATTGTGAATGTTAATGCATTACAATAAGATCTCATTAGTTAACCTTAGTTAAAGTGATACCTATTAGTCTTTGTTCTTTTGCACTTTAATCTGTGTAAAACTTTTAACTTTATAAATTTTTCTGTATTTATTGCATTTAAATGTTCAGTTATTTTTGTTATAAGAAAAAAGTTATTAAACCCGTTATACTGTATGACAGCACTTTTTAAAAAACTTAATTTCAATATCGTGAGAATACCGTATACCGTAATAAAAGCATTAGCAATTAATCGCAACATGAAAATTTGATACCAGCATATTCCTAGTCTTAGGACAACTTTGAACTTTTTTTGATCTACTTCAAATGTTGACTACTATAGTATTGTTTTGAATATTTGATATAATATTGATACAGGGAGTGGTATTGTACATGATACTAATTTCTATGGTGATCACTGATCTATAAAGAACTTTTCGGAGAGCCACTTTTACTGCGAAGTATCAAAAGTTACATCCAGTCATAAATGGCATGTTTTTTTTTATCAATCTGTCATATGCAATGTAATACAAAAGGGGCTATCATTCTTTTTCGTTTACCAGTCAAATTTGTAACCGAGACTAGATGATTAAAAAAAAAAATTAAAAATTGCAGGATTACCTTAATGCTGGAAAGACCTTAAGTTATTATTATTATTTTTTTTATACTAACCCATCAATGTATCTGACCATCCAAGTGCACATTCGGCGTTAAGAGCTGTTAAAGGTGACATATTATGCCCCTTTTTACAATATGTAATATAAGTCTCTAGTGTCCCCAGAATGTGTCTGTGAAGTTTCAGCTCAAAATTCTCCACAGATCATTTATTATATAATTTTGAAAATGCCTATTTTGAGTGGAAGCAGAAACCAGCTGTTTTTCGGGCCTGTGTCTTTAAATGCAAATGAGCTGCTGCTCCCCGCCCCCTTTTCCAGAATAGAGCTGCGTCTTTACAGCTCATATCTGCAAAAAAAAAAAAAACGTTTTAGTTCTGATTATCATGTTTATCGCTCTGAAATCATGCGTTACTGGCCACTCCGCAGTGAGTCAGTGTCATGGACGTAGGACAGAGCACATGTAAATATCTTTTCTAGTCTATATTTCCATCTTGTAATGCTGCTGTCCTCTTATTGGCAAGACACATCGGCATAATTTTTCATATCAGGCCAATGCCGATATGTACATTTTAAAGCCATTATCGTCCGATTCCGATATCGGTCCAATAATATTGTGCATCCCTAAACAAAGATGCAATTCACAACTTGTGCAGAGAAATAATGCTGGCTGAGTGGACGTGAAGCTTTATTTTCAAGCATTTATACTTTTGCTCCAAGTAATATTTGCAATGTAGTATTAAGCTTGTTGTAATATTTACTGTAAACAATTCGGATTCATTTTTTCCCATCATTACATACTGAAATATATTTTGTGTTGGGAAATTTACCTGTTAGGCAGTATGTTTCTATATTTATATATCTCATATCCTGTGGAGAGAAAAAAAAATACCATAAACATTACATGCGTCCGCCTATACGATTTACATACCTATATCCTAAAAACTAAATCTTTGCAACTGAAATCCTGTGCAATTGCACACCAGGTCATTTTACGTTGAAGTATTGGCTGTCAGTCGATGATGCCCTCTGGTGATTGAAAAAGGCAGAATTGCTATTGAATACTCCTGTAGTTTAAAATTCTGTGAGCAATCTAGTCAGATTGTGATGCTTCAGTTATCGTACAGTCAATGTGATTTAATAGTGGCAACATTGATCAGAACTAATGTGCCTTACCTTAGACAAACATGTTAAAACTTCTTTAATCTTTTCCCCAAAGACATGGTTTGATAACATGGGCCGAGCAGGCGAGTATAAGATCAAACCCTTTGATGGCGATGACTACACCTGCATCACGTTCCAGCCGGACCTGGCAAAGTTTAAGATGCAGGCATTAGATAAAGACACTGTCGCACTGCTGACTCGACGAGCATATGACATCGCTGGGTCCTCTAAGGGTGTCCGTGTCTTTCTCAACGGCAAGAAGCTGCCTGTGAGTATATAACTGGTTTTTGCTCTTGACCCCATAACAGTTTGTTTGCATCACTGTATCTTCCAACTAAGTTTAATTTCCTTTATTTTTTCAGGTTAATGGTTTCCGTAGCTATGTGGACCTGTATCTAAAGGATAAGGTGGATGAGACCGGTTCTCCCCTGACAATAGTCCATGAGATTGTGAATGAGCGCTGGGAGGTGTGTCTTACCCTTAGTGATAAAGGGTTCCAGCAAGTCAGCTTTGTTAACAGCATTGCCACGACTAAGGTAAACATCTTCAGCTTTGCAATTTGTCATTATGTTCAGTTTTCAAAAGGCCTGTTTGCAATGCAGGGTGTCCGTGGGTCCTTAAAGGGATAGTTCACCCAAAAATGACAATTTGATGTTTATCTGCTTACCCTCAGGGCATCCAAGATGTAGGCGACTTTGTTACTTCAGTAGAACAAAAATGAAGATTTTTAACTCAAACTGTTGCAGTCTGTCAGTCTTATAATGGAATTGAATGGGAATCACGGCTTTGAGAGTAAAAAAAAACATACACAAAAAAAAAACCAAATTTAAAGGGGTCATATGATGTTGCTAAAAAGAACATAATTGTGTATTTGGTGTAATGAAATGTTTATGCGGTTTAAGGTTATAAAGCACATTATTTTCCACATACTGTACATTATTGTTTCTCTATGTCCTGCCTTTCTGAAATGCATAGATTTTTACAAAGCTAATCGGTCTGAAAAGCGTGGTGTGCTCTGATTGGCCAGCTATCCAGTGCGTTGTGATTGGCCGAATATCTCAAGCGTGTGACAGAAATGTTACACCCCTTACCATACTGTGAAGCCATGTCCGGCCGGAGCGACGAGACAAAGAAATTAAAACCCATTATAAACGAAGCATTTGTTGCATCCAGTGGGGACATAATTACAGATTATAATGACTTACTACTGTCCTAAACAAAGTGATTGTGTATACTGTCTTTTTATGCGTTGCATCGCGCCGCGATGAGTGGTTTGAGTGGTTTAATTTAAGTCTTCAGAAGAGGCATGACTGCTTTATATTATAAACTGGTTCGATTTAGACGTTTATTCACATAAATGTTGAGCAATGTGTATATTCGTCGCATATCAAATTTCAAAGTTTGTTCTCATGCATCAAGCAAGCTTTAGCAGTGAAAAATTTCAACTTCTACTAAGAAAAAAACTAATTGAGCGTCATCAAGTCATAGTTTTGTGTAATACCAGCAGTCATGTGCATGTTGCCAAAAGCTCAAAACATCTATACGTGCTGTGACTGGGGGAAAAAAAAACTTAGCCGAACATAACCAGGGTTTCTGCGGGGTCTTAAGTCTAGTTTTAGTTTTAGGCCTTAAAGTCTTAAATTGTACATGAAAGTCTTAATTGATTTCAAGAGGTCTTAAATTTGGGGATGGAAATACCAGAATTGCGATATGGCTGAATGTGACGATTAAACTTCAAAAGGCTATGATTTCATTGAATAAACATAAGCGCTGCAGTCCAGTGCTGGTCTGCTTTGTGTTCTGCCGTTACCGGGGAAACGGTTATATTTCTTCCAAATGCTCCACCTGCTGGCAGAGAATGAATGTGCATTTTCAATAAAACTTGTTTTGTTCAGAGTTCAGACAAATGCAAAAATCGACCCGTTTTTTACCCTGCAAACATGCAGAGCTTTAAATGTGAACTGGTGGATCGATAAGAAGACAATGCATTATAAAAATCTAAACAGTATAGGGGTGTGCGATGATCTGTGATAATATCGTAATTGTTGTTTTAACGATGTGTGATTTGGAGTATATCGCGAAAAGCAAACAAAACACACCTACAGAGTGCATGCATACATTACGTGAGGTTACATTACTAGTGACATTTAGAGTGTGTTCTTTCACTGCATGAATCAGTCTATTTAAATGCATTTAGAATTATCACATAATTCAAGATATGGGGTAGAAAATGTATACATTTATATCATTTCATATAGTTGTGTCATATAGTATCACATGAAGAGTGGCGTTTCCCCCCCCTCAAAGTCAGCATGATTACAAATGTGATTGATTTTATACAACAGTTCAATAAACAAGAAGTTAATATTAAGAGTCTTACTTTTTAGACACCATATTATCTGTTTTTGCTCTATTTCTCCAACAAAAATCATTCCAAACACAGCCACAGCGCTGTTTTGCGCCTCTGAGCAACAGGACGGTCTTTCGTTCCTGAGTGAATCAACAGTTTAAATTATTCAGTTCAGTCGCAATGACTCCCTTAACAGTGACTTGCTGCCACCTACTGGCAATTTGAATTTCACATTTAAGGTACCTTTTCATTTTTTAAATAATTTCAAACTTTGGTTTTTAATGTTTTACATATGCTTGGTAACAGCCCAAATGCAAGAAATTCACTCAAAAGATGGTGCACACTTTTAGAAAAAATGGCTTAAATGTAAAAATGCCCATAAAACTTGTTGGAAATTATTAATTGCTATCACTGCTGTGAACTGACCACACAGAATACTGTATGAAGAATATAAAAAAAATTCAGGAGTCATTGGTCCCCAGTAGTCCTTAAGATATCAGCACAATAACACGCTTAACAAAATATCATCTAATTATCGTTATCGATAAAATCCCAGAAAATTATCGAGATATCATTTGTCAATATCGTACATTTATTATAGCAATTAAATAAATTATTGATGGTAATTGTTTAAATTAATATAATTAATACTTTTGACTCGTCCATTTTCTTTAAAATGGTTTAAAGGCTAAAATGTAAGGTTTATCATTTTATAAATGTTTTTGTGAAAACTTGTATCTAAACTGTAAATTATGCTTTTTACAGTAATTTTACTGTTTAATATGGTACTATAGACATTGCCCTACCCCTCTCCATATGGTGTTATTTTTTTTTTGTGCAGGTCTTAAATTTGAGCTTAAAAATCCTGCAGAAACCCTAATAACTGTAAGAGCTAATGATAATGGGGCGGGAAAGATACTGTTGCTTTTTCCACCTGCAACTGATGAACAAAGACACTGACAGCCACTCTAATTCTATCTGACTTTAACTGAATATTTGCATAAGAATATTAACATACATTGGTGTGGATGCTGTAGTGTATCTGAAATTCCATTAAATGTTGTTGACCTGTAAACATGATGGACATACTTGGATAATTTGTTGACAGTGGAAAGTGCTTTAAATATGATGTTGTGTGTTTCAGGGTGGCAGACACACCGAATATGTTGCAGACCAGATTGTGTCCAAACTGATTGAAGTGGTAAAAAAGAAGAACAAGGCTGGAGTGGTTGTCAAACCTTTCCAGGTACATCCTGATGATTATTAAAACTTCTACATCTCAAAGATTGTGGCACTGTAATTTTGTGGTCAGATGTAAAGTGCTGGTTGGACTCTGCGTGTGCAGGTGAAGAATCACGTGTGGTTGTTTGTGAACTGTCTGATTGAGAACCCCAGCTTTGACTCTCAGACCAAAGAGAACATGACATTACAGCAGAAGAATTTCGGTTCCACCTGCCCTCTGAGTGACAAGTTTGTTAAACAGGTGAGAAATGTGACTCTTTTGCCTGAACCATGCTGTATAATTTGGATTCAATGATCCTCTTTCTAATATTTGATGAATTGCTGCTGCCAAATTATTCCAAATTGGTGATTTGGTATGCATTGGTGAAGTTGGTATTAAGGACTGTTAAATTTTACCCTTATCGGTACCATTTACTGAAATGTTGATATTAATTCGTCACTAGCAGGTAGTTTGTGATTTAAGATGCTTTACAGCTGCATAAACGCCTTAGATAATTCACCCCTCTGTGTCTTGTTTGTAGGCTAATAACTGTGGAATTGTGGAGAGCATTATGAACTGGGTGAAGTTTAAAGCCCAGGCTCAGCTCAATAAGAAATGCTCTGCTGTCAAACACACTAAGATTAAAGGAGTACCCAAGCTGGATGACGCCAACGATGCAGGTAACCAGGTTTGTTGTGCTGTTAAAATATTAAAACGCTTTCAGCCTGGGTGTTAATTTCAGGATTGTTGGTTTGTTTCAGGTGGAAAGAACTCCAATAGCTGCACTCTGATCCTGACCGAAGGAGACTCGGCCAAAACTCTGGCCGTGTCGGGTCTAGGTGTGGTGGGACGTGACCGCTATGGTGTCTTCCCTCTGCGTGGTAAAATGCTCAATGTTCGAGAGGCATCACACAAACAGGTCGGTAAATTCAAAAGAATTTTAATGAGTGCTTCATGGTAGGGCTGGATGATTGATCGAAAAGAAATCGAAACCGAAATTCTGAACCACTAACCAATGTAATTTTCCCATGTCTGTTATTTCGGGGGAGGGGTTCTCCTATTAATACTTTCCCCTTAAAAATATACTTACCGTGTGTGTATGAACATTGTGCTCGCATCTTTTGTAGCGTCTTGCATGTGAGGCACGTTAAAAGAATTTAAACTTTTACATGCAGTGCCACTCATCGATGTCAGTTCCAAAACAGTGGACCAATCAGAGACCCCGGAGGCGGGGCGAGCGCTGCGAGTTTTTGTTTATAGTAGCAGGTTGGCATGGCAAGTTTTGTATTTGACGACAACATGGTGGAGGAGGTGGCATTCTGCACTGCGCTTTTTTTAAAAACCATTCCTGAGCGCTGCATCTCACGGTTTTAGACGCAAAGACATATTCTGTGTGAATGGCCAGTAAGAACCTAGAGTAAATACTTGCGCATTTAGAGTGACAGAACAAGATCACTGAGATGGTGCCCTGCTCTTTCTCTTAATCAGCAGTGTTGTATTTACATTCATTATTTAAAACATTTGTTAACAGGAGATGCAATATATTGTTTTCTACTTTTCACAATGCATTATTTAAAATATTAATTTACAAGAGATACAAGTTATTTTCTACTTTTCGTATGACAATATTTAAAAAGTAGGCTATTTTGTTAACCAGGGGTGCTGGTTATTTTCTACTTTTGACATGGCAATATTCATATGTTTTAATTTTTTTTTTTGCAAAAAAATTTAAACTGAAATGTGACTTTTTCATAAGATGTCTTCATTTCAAGCAAGCTCTGATTTTAATTGTTCGAATTATTCAACAAATAACCACAAATTTGTTTCCTTCAATTATTTTAAAAGTCACAAAGATAAGAAATGCACTTTCATTAGAAAAAAAATCCCACCTTTTAATAGTTTAATTTTAGTATAACTTTAATATTTGCAGTACAAATCTTTATTGAACAATGAGGGCAAGAAAAATCAATCAACAATTGTAATTGAGTCGGTGCCCATAGCCTTGTGGTTAGTGCATCAACATATAGCACAACTGCTCATGGAGACCCGAGTTCGAATCCCGCCTCGATGTCCTTTGCCGATCCTGCTCCCCTCTCTCCTCCCATTGCTTTCCTGTCAGCTCTTCACTGTCCTCTCACAATAAAGGTGTAAAAAAAAAAAAACATAAATATAACTTAAAAAAATTGTTATTATAAAAAAATATAATAATTGTAATCAAGGTAAAGTGTTCAGGTAATCAAGGTTTTGATTTTAGGTTTTAGCCCAGTCCTACTTCATGGGGTTGTATCAATTACAGACCCCACAAAAGCAAAAACTTTTTTTTTTTTTGCAGATCATGGAGAATGCTGAGATCAACAACATCATAAAGATCCTGGGTCTGCAGTACAAGAAGAACTACAGTGACCCTGAGTCACTCAAGAGCCTGCGCTACGGCAAGCTCATGATCATGACAGATCAGGTCAGACTGTACACAGTGTGCCTGTTACAGAATATAGGGTGTAGTTTGTTGTATGTGTAATGATGGGTGATTTCCTCAGGATCAAGACGGATCTCACATTAAAGGCCTTCTCATCAACTTTATCCATCATAACTGGCCGTCACTGCTGCGCCACAACTTCCTAGAAGAGTTCATCACACCCATCATCAAGGTAGATTCCAGCTGCCCTTGTCATCAACAATATGCCAAAAATGCTTGTTGTGGAAACGTTTCATTGAATGCCGGTGTTGTCGCTCTCTAGGCATCCAATAAAAAGCAGGAACTTGCTTTCTACAGTATCCCAGAGTTCAATGAGTGGAAGGAGAAGCAAAGTAGCACCAAATCCTGGAAGATCAAATACTACAAAGGTTTGTCTCAAACACCTGTGGTAGTCCACTGGCAAACGTAAGCAGTGTTTTTACTCTGTCCTCCTTATGTGTTCAAGTGATGTAGAAGGTGAAGGGGGCACAGATTGGGTCACCAGCACACTGGGTGCTTGCAATAACATTTGAAAGTGGTTCTAAAACATGCATGTATACAGTCATTTGCAAATATCTCATGTGTTTTTCTATCTGCCTCTCTCCAGGTTTGGGTACCAGCACATCTAAGGAGGCCAAAGAGTATTTTTCGGATATGACGAGACACCGAATCCCTTTTAAGTACTCTGGGCCGGCTGATGATGAAGCTATCACCCTGGTAACCATGTCTCCGTTTGAATTTGCAGTGGACACAATCGAGCAACATTGAATATAAAATTACGTTTCCTAAAGATGATATTTATGACTTTTTTTGTCTATCTGCAGGCCTTTAGTAAGAAGATGGTAGATGAGAGGAAGGAATGGCTGACCAGCTTCATGATCAACAGACGTCAGCGCAGAGAACACAACCTGCCTGAGGTGCCATAACCCTAAAAAAAAAAAATCAATGTTTTTTTTTTTTTTTTTTTTTTTTTTTTTTTTTTAAAGGGGAAATCGAGTTGACTTTTGTGTGCCATTTAAAAAGCATGATCTTGTTTCTGCTTTGTGCAGGAGTACCTGTATGGACAGGAAACCTCATCCCTCTCCTACCATGACTTTATCAATAAAGAGCTTGTGCTGTTCTCCAACTCTGACAACGAGAGATCAATCCCCTGCTTGGTGGATGGTGAGAAACCTGTATTTCCCCAGCATTACTATTGTCATCGTTGAATTTTTTTTGGATGGTTTTATAGGCTAACAAAGGGTAGTTAGTAAAATAATGCAATTATGCTGCTTTTATAAGATTAACTAAAATCTAGCATTACATGTATCATTCATGGTCAAGGCAATCCCACAATACAAGCAAAGAGTTACTGAACAAAGATGCAGAGAAATAATATGTATGTATGTTTCAGGTCTAAAACCAGGCCAAAGGAAAGTGCTCTTCTGCTGTTTTAAGAGGAATGATAAGAGAGAGGTGAAAGTGGCTCAGTTGGCTGGATCAGTGGCTGAGATGTCAGCATACCACCATGGAGAGGTGAGGACTTTTGTTCCACTCACCTCATTCATTGTTTGGTCTGTATATGGAAAATCTTGTCACATTGCTTTTGCTTTTAGGAAGACACTACCCCACTATAAATATGAAAACACACATTCAAAAGTAAAATTATGCTAAGATGTCTCTATCAAACTACTGTCATGACTATAATATAAAACCAGTGACCCTGGTAGCTTTCACATGATACAACTATTTAAATGTTTTTCTCTTCCTCAGGTCTCTCTGATGATGACCATTGTGGGTCTTGCTCAGAACTTTGTGGGCAGTAATAATTTGAACCTGCTTCAGCCTCTGGGTCAGTTTGGCACACGTCTGCATGGAGGCAAAGACTCTGCCAGCCCCAGATACATCTTTACTATGCTCAGGTACACCGATGCACACGGCTAATGGTTATGGCTAGCAAATAAAAATGTCATATCTAGTAAAGTAAAACAAAATTGTTTTTGATTTATTCTCAGTCCACTTGCTCGTCTGCTGTTTCCTGCTGTGGACGATAACCTATTGAAGTATAACTTTGATGATAATTTGCGAGTGGAGCCAGAGTGGTACATACCCATCATTCCTCTGGTGCTGGCTAATGGAGGTGAGGGCATCGGCACAGGATGGGCCAGCCGCATCCCCAACTATGACGTGAGAGAGATCATCAACAATATTCGCCGCATGCTCAATGGAGAAGATCCACTTCCCATGGTAAAAATAAATTCATGTTTTAAATTTAATTACCATAAATGCATAGTTGTTTTCATAATGCATATTGTTCTAAACCAGAACTGGTTGATGTACTCATTTCGCCCATTTATGTCTAGCTGCCAAGCTATAAGGGGTTCAAAGGCACCATTGATGAACTGGCGAAGAATCAGTATGTGAATAATGGAGAGGTGGCCATCATTGACTCTACCACCATTGAGATCACTGAACTGCCAATCAAAACCTGGACACAGGTGCGTGAAGTTTGTTTTATACTTTCTTTAGGAAGCTTATTCATGATTCCTTGTAGGACTGAGCTTTTTTTTTTTTTTTTAATAACCCATGCCCATTTGGTATGTGGCAAGTAGTGGTTGTAAATATTCAGTTGACATGAAAAACTGGTAAAATTAGTGCAACTAAATCCTTTGACTTTCAGCAATATCTGCTAGGGTTTAAAATGTTTATACCAATGTTTCCTTCACTGCAAATTCATGTTTCATGCTGTATATAAAATTAGCAGTGTGTTTAACCTGTGAAGTTTGGTGTAAAGCTGGGTTATACAGAATATTGAGCAAAAAATTATGCCAGTCAGTTCAGCAGATAAAAATAACAAACATTTTCTTTGGAATACATGATGAATAACATGACATCTCTCAGACCTATAAGGAGAATGTTTTGGAGGCGATGCTGAACGGCACGGAGAAGGTTCCTGCTTTGATCACCGACTATAAGGAGTATCATACAGACACCACAGTGCGTTTCGTCATTAAGATGACAGAGGAGCGCCTGAGAGAGGCTGAGGCAGCTGGACCACACAAAGTCTTCAAACTACAGAATCTGCTCACCTGTCACTCCATGGTGAACAGCACACACCATATACTTTATATCACAATATGCATCCTTTAAAAAAAATGCTGATTTTTTTTTGCCCAATCCTGAAAACATTTGTTGTCTTCCATTGTCTATATCATTCTCATGCAGGTGTTGTTTGATCATGTGGGCAGTCTGAAGAAGTACGAGTCTGTTCAGGACATCTTGAAGGATTTCTTTGAGCTCAGAATGAAGTATTATGTCCTCAGGAAAGACTGGCTGCTAGGTATGCTGGGGGCTGAAAGTGCCAAACTTTCCAACCAGGCCCGATTCATTCTGGAGAAGATCCAGGGCACACTGGTCATTGGTGAGACATGCTTTTTCTCTCTTTGTGTTTGGTTTCACACTACATGCAGAAGCAGCACATATTAAAAGGAAAGAACATTCAGACTAGACTGGTACTGTGTAGTACCAATATAATGAATGTGACAGTTGGTAGTGTTTTGGCATGAAGTCTAATTTTGCCTTGTGCCATACACTGACCTCAATACATTACAAGTGCATTTTTTTTACCTTTATCTGCTATCAACACATTGTATTGAGCTACTAAATTATTTAATGACAATCTTATTTTATGGGTGTTATTTGGCCAATACAGATAAACTGATAACAATGACAACCTTGGAATGCATGTGGGGAAAGTGGATATTCATTTTAAGATCACAATGTAAAAACTGGAAAAATTAGTATGTCTTATTACATGTGCAGTACTACCTCAGAATTAATATCCATGTTTCCCACATAGTTTTAGTCTATGGGTTTTAGCTGTGATAATGTCTAAGTCCACATCACATTACATTTACACTTACTTCAGACTTGTGAGCCCTCCAAAAGCTCATTACAGTGCCATCCCAAAGAGGCACACAATCACATTCACAGACACATTTTCAAGAAACTGATAAAGACACATCTCTTCCATCAATAATTGACCCTCTAAAACAAGCACTCTCTATTGGTTCTTTTCTATCTAATTGTTTTCATTTTATTTATTAAAAAACAAACAAAACAAAAAAAAAACTGTTAGTCTAACTGCAACTTGTGACAGCACTTGCATATTGCTGCTCTTTTATTGGTTTGATTGCTTTTGTCCTCATTTGTAAGTGTCTTTGGATAAAACGGGGTGTCCGCGGGTCCCATATTGTCAAAACTGAAATTTCCTGGCTTTTTTCGCGATAACTGAGGTCTAGGGGCTATTTAACTACCATATAAGTTTCTGACTTCCCCCCCCCATTAATTTTGTAGTATTAAATTGCATTTTATTAATCAAAGCATGCCGAATTAATTAAAATCATGAAACTTAAACAATTTAACATCAATTTATTAAAAGTTTAACAAATATTACATGTTTAGGGCCCTATGAAATGTTTTATTTTTCCAACCTTATGTTTTAGCATGTCTAATTATTTGAAAGCATAAAACAAGTTTCATTTATTCTTACATTAGCCTTATGATTTTTTGCTCAGAAATTCTGTGTTGTGTATTTACATTTTTTTTTTTAAGGCATAAAACATTTATTTAGTCTATCTTTTAAATAATGAAAATTAAACAATTTTATTTTTTGGAAAATAAAGGTAATTTAATATTACAATTAAAACACTGAAGAAAATATTTTATGCTTATTCCTTAAACAAGGTTTTAATAATTTTAGTAGTAGTAGCAGCCTGTTACGTACATTCTACTCAATAATTGTAATATATTTCTGCCAATGCCTTCAAGTTAAACCGAACTTTTATTTTGACTGGTTGCCGTGAATACCTTTACATTTCTGTGTGTATATGATATGAGGATAGTTTTACTCAGATGAAACGATCAAATGCTCATGAAGTGACTCTCAAAGAAGATCTGGAGATATTGTTCATGTATTTATGTCCTCATTTAGTGAAACGGCAGATGCTAAAGTCACCGCAAGGCATAAAACATTTATTTAGTCTATCTTTTAAATAATGAAAATTAAACAATTTAATTTTTTGGAAAATAAAGGTAATTTAATATTACAATTAAAACATTGAAGAAATATTGCCCCCTAATATAATGGCAGCGGAAACACTGATACATGACGTAGATGCAAGAAACATAGACACATGACGCGCCCATAACAACAAAAGACAATACTTTATTGAACCTTTTCTGATAAGAAGTGCGCTCTGCAATCACGAGCATTTTTGACGATCGTTTCTGTCCAGTCTGCTCGTTTTATTGCATTTAACCACAGCTGTCATTGGTTTTTTTGTCTGGCAGTGGCAGCAGTATGGGGGTAGAATTGTTGCTTAATTCCAAATAAATAGATTATGATCCACAAATAAATAGAATGAGATCCACAAATAAATCTTAAAGTTTCACAAACATGAATTAAATTCACAAATAA